TATTTATGCCGTTCCGAAAGCGCCTCCTGCTGGCAGAGAATGAATTTGCATTTTTCAATAAGTCCGTCTGCTGTTTCTGTTTAGACCAGTGCAAAAATCGACCCATTTTGCGCCGCAAACATGCTAATGCATTATAAAAATCTAAACAATTAAGACACTAAGATGTATTTGTTGTTTAATTAATATAATAATTGATTGATAATACACTGCTTTTCTTAGAATTTAACAATTTTGCTTAAAACAAGGAAAAATATCTGCCAATGGGGCAAGAAAAATAGTCTTGTTAAAATATAATTATTATTTTTATTTTTTTCAGAAAACAAGACTTAAGTAATTTTGCTTCTCAAGTAAATGCATCCTGATTCAAGTATGTTTAGATTTAGATTTATACTAGAAAACAAGAAAAAAAACACTAAGTAAATCATTTTTTGCAGTGTAATTGTTTAAATTAATATAATTGATACTTTTGACTCATCCCTTTCTTAAATATGGTTTAATGGCTGAAATGTGAAGTTTATATATATATATTTTTTTTTTACTTTGTTTTTGTGAAAACCTGTATCTTAACTGTAAATCATGATTTTTACAGTTTAGTATGTTACCATAGACATTGCTCTACCCCACTCATATGGTATTACTTTTATTTGTGCAGGGTGTTAAAAAGGTCTTAAATTTGATTTTAAAAATCCTGCAGATACCCTGTTTTTAGTCCACTCTCCCAGAATGTTATTTCGATGAAGGGGAAAATTATGGTGGGGAAAAAATACCCCGTGATGGGGTTAGTTTTGAAGCTATTGGGCTGGTTTTGTTTTTGCTGCTCCTTAATTTGAAAACCTCTGTCCTGTGGCACCTTAGCAACCACCTAGCAACCCCTTCACAGCCACCCAAATTACCTTGAAACTTAATGACTTTTAAAAGCTTATTTGAAACTTTTTATCTATGCTTTGTCAAGCCAACATTCAAACTTGTCTAGTTATACCTTGGTGCTGTAGTGTATATATGTATATGTGTGCATTTTAGAAGCAAACAAGGAAATTCACGAACATCTGGGTCCTCCAAGTGAACGGATCGCTCTGCACGTCCTCAGAACTCAAGGCCTGGTTCCAGAGCATGTTGAAAACTGCCAAATTAACCTTGAAACTTAATGACTTTTAAAAGCTTATTTGAAACTTTTTATCTATGCTTTGTCAAGCCAACATTCAAACTTGTCTAGTTATACCTTGGTGCTGTAGTGTATATATGTATGTGTGTGCATTTTAGAAGCAAACAAGGAAGTTCACGAACATCTGGGTCCTCCAAGTGAACGGATCGCTCTGCACGTCCTCAGAACTCAAGGCCTGGTTCCAGAGCATGTTGAAACCAGAACTCTTTACAGTAGCTTCCAACCGACTCTCCCACAGGTGTGATGCTACTCACCGGCCTGTTCTTTCTGTGATGTACTATACAGAACTCTATTTTGTTTGAAAGCAAGCTCAAAATACTTCTTTATGATGTTATCAAGTAGTCTGTGTGTTTTATAGGGAAAACTCCAGATGTGGGTTGACATTTTCCCAAAAAGGCTTGGGCCTCCTGGAACTCCTTTTGACATATCTCCACGTAAAGCAAAAAAGTGAGAAGAAATTGGTTCTTTTTGGTTATGCTTTTTCTGTTGAATGGCGATAAACTCACGTTCATTCTTTCTATCAGGTATTTTCTGCGCGTCATTGTTTGGAACACGTATGACGTAGTTTTGGATGAAACCAGCATTACTAGTGAAAATATGAGTGACATCTATGTAAAGAGGTATGTAAAATGTTGAAGTCTCTTAAGGCAGAACTGTTGGTTAATTTTGAGATTGTTATTTTGCTTCCATAGCATGACTTTTTTTCAGACTAGTGGAAAGAAAGCAACCAAAATATACATTTTAAATATTTTTTGTCTATTTGTATCTGTAGATTTTAATAACAGTACATATATTTTAAAGACCATTTTTTTCACAAATTTTCTCAGACACTGAGCCAGAAATCTCCACTTTAGTAGCACTTACATTCAACAAACTTTACAGAGTTTATGTAACATTTTATTCCTTAAAAACATGGTGAAAATGCTTTTTTCCCCCTAGCTTTTGACAGGAATTATAGAGTAATAAAAAGAGATCTAAATCTACCTCTGTAAAAACCTCTAATACATCAAAATTAAATGCGTTTTTTGAATCTGGCTTTATCCAATGTTCAGATTTCTGGAACACATTTAAAAAAAACCTGTAATACAAAACAATTTTTAATTTCACGTGATAAACAGATATCACCATAGTTCCCTGATTGATTAGTTACATTTTTACACTGTTCACCTGTGGAGTCTTGCCTCAATGTGTTTTACAAGTAATATTTGTCGTAATTCATGCATTTATACCTTTGATTAGTTGGATGCCAGGTATGGAAGAAGATAAGCAGAAAACAGACGTCCATTACCGATCTTTGGATGGCGAAGGCAATTTCAACCAAAATCTCCTTTTGAATTGGACTTTGAGCTGTGTAACTTTGCAGATCTTTTTTTTTATGCTCAAACGGCAACTTTACATATTAACTAAAGGTGAAAAAGCATAATAGCACCCCTTTAAAAGTTATATATTTTCACAAATTAAAACCTAGTTTTTTAAAGTAATATCTGGAAATTGCAGCTATAATAAGTCCGACTATATGGGATTAAAACCGCTTCCCCCCCCCTTATTTTACCTGTAAAAAAAAAAAAAAAAAAAAGCGTTATCCTTTTTGCTTTTGCAATCTAG